ATTTGGAGAAGAAGAAATAACAAATCATTGCTCATAATCATTCCGGTGTATGTCTATGCATATGCACATATTTCTTTCACTGATGAATGAATCTACAGCTGCAAATCTAGCTTTGCTACCAAGAGTTCCACAACTCTCAACGCTTAATAGTTTTCCTACATAAAGGAGATTTTATTAAACAAAACATCACATCCACCCTCAACTCTTAATAATCTCACAAATAAATAGACATTTTTTCTTTCTTTCTGGGTCCAAACAAGCACAGATCAGCAAACAAGTAATTATGAACTCTAATTTTTTTTAATCCACGACTCACACGGATACCCGGTATATGCGATAAAAGCATCCATGAGAGCAGTCCTTTGAAACCAAATGATTCTGACAAGTATTCTCCACAGCACCAGCATCACTCCAATGATTTTTTTTTTGCAGTGACATGCAGTTGAAAACATAGGACCTCCATCAACCTCTCTTTCCCCCTTGCTGGATCAAGGAGGAGACGTCTTCCCCAACCGTACGTGTGTTGAACGCGGAGGTGCTGTCCGTTCAGCACTAGGATCATCGGTGATTTGGATCACGACGAGTACGACTCCCTCAACCCCGTTCTCTTAAACGCTTCCGCTCGCGATCTACAAGGGTATGTAGATGCACTCCTCTCTCTCGTTGCTAGATGAACTCCATAGATTAATCTTGGTGAAGCGTATAATTTTTTTATTTTCTGCAACGTTCCCCAACATGCGGGAATGAGCCGAGCCGATGTCTAAATTGTGCAATCCTTCGGCTGCTGGTTGTTCGCTTCATCTTCGTCCCTTCGTTTCACCTTCCGTCGCTGCCCTCTCGCCTCCTTCTCATGCGCCTATAAAAGGGAGGTCGCTCCTCTCAGAGAGACGCACCAGCACTCATTCTTCCTTTCGCCACCGGTTCCTGAACACTGCGCTGCTGCTACAATCTTCCTCATCCCGGCTTGCGACGTGCACCGCAGGTCGGGACAGTAGGCCTCCGAAACCGCACCTCTTTGTGTCTTGTACGGGAGAAGGGTGATAAGGTTTTCGGGGAGCGTTCTGCGCGACTACTGACTTCTTCGTCACGGACGCCCCGGACTCCGACGACTACTTCCCCGACGTCGACAACCTCCTCGACGACATGGAGGACACCGACCCCAAGTCCAGTGCCTCTGCTCCGGCTGCTGTCTCGTACGTGTTCTTATTTTTCCTTTTAGAGGTCCTGTTCCAGTTGCTTGTTCTAGTGTTTGCCCTAGACATGTTAGGATCTACCTCATATATGCATCTTGATCTACTGTCTGCTCTAGAGGTGATCGGTTCTAGCTCATATATGCAGATGTTATTTACCTTCTCTTTGTCAAATCGCATGACTTGTTTTATCAATGCTATACTAGTCATGCTTTATCTAGTACTTTTGTTAATAAAATCATTCGGTAAATTGCTCATATTTCCAACAGGGAGCACCATCTGCGAGATTTTAATCCTCCATCTCCATGGGATGATCAATTAACTCTGTCGGTTCTTTTCCATGAGGAATTGAGAGTTTTGTAAAGTAGTGACGGCGAGTTCCATCTATCCAGACCTGGACAATGATTGAAAATTTGGTATGTATTCCTTTGCTCTCAAGATAGCTACAGGAGCAAAGAAGAAACGCATCAAGAATGCACAGCATGCCTCTTCAGCGACATATGACGATTCTTGTTGGCTCGAGAAAACAATAGCGAAGTGGATGATCTCCGGTATGATAGTGTTGATGCTGATCAGGGAGCAATTCGGAGAAGAAGAAATAATAAATCATTGCTCATAAGCATTCCAGTGTATATCTATGCATATGCACATATTTCTTTCACTGATGAATGAATCTACAGCTGCAAATCTGGCTTTGCTACCAAGAGTTCCACAACTCTCAACGCTTAATAGTTTTCCTACATAAAGGAGATTTTATTAAACAAAACATCACATCCAACCCTCAACTCTTAATAATCTCACAAATAAATAGACATTTTTTCTTTCTTTCTGGGTCCAAACAAGCACAGATCAGCAAACAAGTAATTATGAACTCCAATTTTTTTTAATCCACGACTCACACGGATATCCGGTATATGCGATAAAAGCATCCATGAGAGCAGTCCTTTGAAACCAAATGATTCTGACAAGTATTCTTCGCAGCACCAGCATCACTCCAATGATTTTTTTGGCAGTGACATGCTGTTGAAAACACAGGACCAGTGTAACTTGAAAAATTAAACATAACATATACTGTAACAGATTGGTATCAGCAGCCAAATTTCCTGTTTAAAACGAGACTTCTTACTAGAGCTTCTTGATCACAACTTTATATGCATCAACAGAGAAGCCCGCATGCTGACACTTCATATTGCAGCTCATAAGGATACTAAAAGCTAGCCCGTTTCATCATCAGCTACAACAGAAATTAGAAACACGAAATGAGTGTATATCCGTTAAATATTTAGTATGAAGAAACCACTGGATGGACTTCAAGAAAGAAGAAATTTTCAATTAAAAAACCAAGTCAATTGTTCATTTCAAAGGGAAACAGAGACACTGGGCGGATCAATTGGCAACTATTCCAAAAGCTGGCAAAAGCTGCTTCATAATTTTAGAAGCAGGATGACACTTCAGCCCAAAGGATATTGAGATAAGTATTGTTCGATAAATTAGCAGTTTTCTTATAATTCAACAAGTACAAATTTCTTGCAACCATGAAACAGTTGGAGCTTCTTCATCATAACTTGTATACATCAAAAGGAAATTACGCGTTGTACCGGTCAAAGAAAAAAAATTAACATGGCTGGCAGTTACAGAATCAAGGGGAACAGAATCTGGGATCTGAGCCTGCCCATTATAACCTTTCTTCTGCTTATCAGTACAATTTCATTCCTAGAGCTTACATTACATGAACATCACATGAAGCATTGGTTCCTCAAAATGGAAAGCACCTAAAGTGACCTTAAAAGTATGATTCCAAACCAGGCAGTGCAATGGCAGAATTATAACGGTGTGTTTTAACACCTAACTAGATGCAATCCAATCATGAACAAGAAAAAATCACAGCAGAAAATCCCATTGAGAAGTTGACTATAATGCAATCTTTCAATAAAACTAGTGCTCCTAGCTATTGTAAATTTCAGGTGCAGCTTGCTAGTCAATAAGGATGATAATCTGCATCATATCATCGTCAGTTAAAACAAAACATAGAAACAAAACTCAAATGTACATTTTCCAACTAATAAGTTTTAAGAAGAGCACCAGGTAATCTATAAAAAAGAACAGCTCAATAAAAGGAAAAGTGATTCTTCGGTTAAATAAACAGAGACGTAATTTTAGCATCAACGCTCATGGCTGACACTTCAGCCCGAAAGGATATTCGGAGTAATATAACGCAGGCATGAAACATTTAGAGTTTCTTGATAATAACTTATCTATCTATGCATCAAAATGAAACTAGCTGGCTCATAGTGGGCTGAATTCATACACATTGCAGCTCATGAGAATACTGGTAGCTGGGCCGTTTAGAAACACCACCTGACATAACATCTGTCAGATGAAAGAGAAAGAGTTCACAACATAACCCTCTAGCGCCGGAAAGAAGGTATGCTGAACAAGAGTTTCCTTGGCCCGAATAGCAACGGAACTTGGACAGAGATAAAGGCATTGATGGTTCTCAATGTTGTCCAAACATTTACTTGGACGAAAATATATAGACTCGGACAAAATTGTACTCCCTCCGTCCCACAATATAAGACGTTTTTGCAAGCTAAAACAGCTTCCCAAAACATTTTATATTATGGGACGGAGGGAGTATTTGATAAAATGATTTAGAGCGAACCTTCACTCTTGAACATTGCTTGAGGGCAGTGAAAAACAACTTCTTACAAGAGATTGTTGATCACAACTTTATATGAATCAACAGAGAAGCCTGCAGGCTGAAACTTGATATTGCAGCTCATGAGGATGCTAGCAGCTAGGCCGTTTCATCATCAGCTACAATGAAACTTGGAAAGAGGAAACCCGTCTAAATGGGCTGAATATTTAGCATTAAGAAACCACTGGACGATCTTTAAGAAAGAAGAAAATCTCGATCAAAATACCAGCTCAATTCTTCACGGTACAGATTAATTGGCAAGTACTCCCTCCATCCCATAATACAGGCTCCAAAAGCTGGCCAAAATGACTTCATAATTTTTCGAATCAGCATGGTAGCCACTTCATCCCAAAAAGGATATTCACACAAAAACAAATTTCATGTGACCATGAAACAGTCAGAGCTTCTTGATCATAACCATCAAAGAAACTAGCCGGCGCATGCCAGACCCAATTCATACGCATAGCGTCGATGATAGAAAAAATAAGAACATTGCTGGCAGTTACAGAATTTAATGGAGAACACAATCTGGGACCTGAGCCTGACCACAATAACCTTTCTTCTGCTTATCAATACAGGTTTCATTTCTCCAGCCCTTAAAATGTTGGGAGATAAAGTGAAGAGATAAATATAATTCCAACACAATGTTTTAACACCTAACCAGATGCAATGGAACCATGAAGAAGAATGAACTGCAACAGAACATCTCACTGAAAAGTTGACTACAATGAAAAGAGGATCTCATTTCATCGTCAGTTAAAACAAAACACAGAAACATAAATCAAATGTACATTTTCTAAATATTTAATATTAAGAAGAGCACCGGGTAATCAGTAAAAAAGAAGACCTCTATCAAAGAAAGAGTTGATTCTGCAGTTAAATAAGCAGAGACTTGTAAACTTAGCATCAACACGCACAACAGCCACTTCAGCCCAAAAGGATATTCACACAAGTACAGATTTCATGAAACCATGAAAGGATCAGAACTTCTTGATCATAGTTTGCATACATCAAAATGAAACTAACTGGCTCATAGTGGACCCAAGGCATACATATTGCACAGCACATGAGGATACTGACAGTTGGGCCGTTCAGAACCACAACTGACTCTATCAGACCAAAGGCGAAGAGTTCACAACATAACCCTCTAGTGTCGGAAAGAAGGCATGTTGAACAAGAGTTTGCTTGATCTGAAGATTTGTAGGACCAAGGCCTCTGCGACGGAAACTGGAAACCATCTTGCCATGAATGTCAACCTGAAGCAGACAGTCATCAAATTTGATGAGTAAGAGCACATCGCCATCCCAAGGCACGGCCACCACATTCCGAAAATGGACAGACTTTCCAAATTGCTCCCTGGTCTCTGCGACCGGAAACTCAACCCGGTATTTGAAGGTCCAGACCTCGGCTTCATAGTCTTGCAACACCCAGATATTAACGCTTGCTGCTGCGTCACTAAGACTGGAGATGCCAAGCATGTCACCCATCTCAATCAGGTTAGAGTAGCCAGGACCAACCGGAGAGCGCACCTGCCGGAACGACTCAGCGGTGGTGTCAAATGCCATCATCAGATTGCGTATGCACCAATGCAGGTTACCGCGGAACAGGATAGACACGGTGGAGAATCTCAGTAGCAGTTCCTTGGCCTCAGGGAATCCTATGTGCCTCAGCTGCTGGTCGGAGCCCAATGTGAAGATGTAGGAGCCACCTTGAGCTTCAGGGGGGAGCGGGTATAGCAGTAGTCGGTACTCGCCGGTAGGGAGGTGAGGGTACATCCCCAGGATCTTGAAGCCATCAAGCTACGGAAGGGGAGAGTACTGACGAGTTGCCGGGTTGCAGATGGAGAGCTTAGGCGGGTAGTGGGCAGAAAGGCCGAGGAGGCCGTCGCAGCATGTCTCGAGAATGAAGCAGTCATCATGGCGGTAGGAGTCGTTTGCAAGTCGAGCGACGGACCGGAGCTGGTCGACGGCGACGACCCCTGCCCGGTAGTCCAAGGGGAGGAGGTCCAGGGACGCGTAGTTGTAGCCAGGTTGCCGGGAGGAGGTCCACGCGCGTCGCTGCCCTGGTAGTTCACCAGGTTGATCTCCCTCAGGCAGGGGGGCAGCAGGTCGGCAGGCGGCGTCTGCAGGACAATGGTGTCGCGGTCGTACTTGAGATGGTGCGCGTCCAGAAACTCCTCCTCCTTGTAGAGGCCGTAGCGCTCTGGCTTCTCGCGAGGCGGCGCCTTGAAGAACAGGGTGAGCACCTCCAGGTTGGGGGCGTGCCCCAGGATCCTTGCCACCGCAGCGACGACGGCGTTGCCTTGGGTATCGTCGTCGTGTGGCAGGGAGCCTGTGAGCTCGAGTTGGCGAAGCTTCAAGAACGCCGGGAACCGTGTGGCGATGGCGTCGTTGTCGATGCCGGAGCCCAGGCGGGCAGACGTCAGGTGCAAATGCTCCGCGGTTTCAAAGTGGTGGAGGAATTCGCCGAGGCGGGTGAGACCGTGAGATCCTCCTCCGACGTCAGCTCCCCGCCGCATAAATCGACTCTGCATGACGAGAGTCTTGGCGGGCCGTTGTGCATGGTCAGAAACGATGGCTGCGCGGGCACGGCGCCCCTGTACTCGAAGGCGCGCAGCTTCGACGCATCGATGATGACGCTCGCCAACCGGTGGCAACACCTAAGGGCCAGCCTGCGGAGGCGCTTGTCGAGGACCGAGAGCTCCCTCACTCTGGCGCAGGCCTCGAGCGTCAGGTCGGCGAGGAACGGGCAGCTGGAGATGAGCCGTTGAATCTTCCTGCCCGAGTCGGCAACACGGGTCAGGACCAGCGCCTCGAGGGACGGCAGGTTGGCCCCGCCGGTCGGCGGGTCGAGCTTGCAGGACCCGAGGCACAGAGTGCGCAGCGCGGCGCAGGAGAAGACAGATCGTGGAACAGTGTACAGCTTGTCCTTCTGCTGCCGTAGCCATGGTCTTTTGGGAGGAGGGGGCGTCTCAACCTCGTCGTCGGAGATGACGTCGAGGGCGATGCCCTCCAGGGCATGAAGGAGCGACTCGACCTCGCGGTTTTCATCGTCGGAGCTGCAAGCGGAGCGCTCGTCATCTTGAATGCCGTCCTGGTTGTCCTTGGCCGCGCCGCGGAGGGAGTAGCCGCGGCCGCAGATTTCGTCGGCGCGGAGGCGCAGGTCGAGGTGGAGCTCAGGTCCACTCTCCTGCATGGCATACGAGATCCACCGGTCAACCATGGAGTCGAGGTCGTTCATCCCGTTATTGTAGTCGCAGAAGGCCACGCGGAGGGAGCGCAACGGGACCGTGGTGCGGCCGCGGCGGTATCGGGCGAGGAGCACGTCGTTGACGCCGTTGGCGAGGGAGACGGTGTCTTCCGACTGCTCCAGAGAAACGGTGTGGACGCTGGCGAAGACGTCACGCCACCGGGTGGAGAGCGCGGTCGCCCGCATGGCCTCCTTGGCGGGGAGGAAGGAGAGGATGTTGCCAAGAACGCCATCGTCGAGCTTGCTCAGCCGGTCATCGCGCCCACCACCGATCTGGGAGTGTCGTCCCATCGCGGCCGGCCGGAACCTTGCAAACGAATCCCAGATCGATCAGGGGGCCGGTGAAGCGTCTATATCGTACTACTAAGTCTTCCTTCCCAAGTTTTTTTGGTTCTGTTTTGTTTTAGGATCAGGATAACTATGAGAGCCTCTATTTGTCAGTTAACTGGAAAAAAAAAGTGGATCGGTCACTTCTAATATGGGCCGTCAGGTCATCATCCAACAGCCCAGAATAGGTCCAGGAACCGTTCATCGTCTTCCTCCCTTCCTCCTCACGATGCCCCCATCCTATGCCGCCCTAACCGCTGGCTCCCACCACCCGCGGCCGGCAGGCACTACTTCGCACCGCCTCGCCCTCCCCACCCCCACCCCCACCCCCACCCTAAGATGAGATAATGGGGCAACGAATTCATCCTAAGATAGATAGTAGGGCTCTCTTCTCCGACGAGGTTTCAGTGCCAGAATGAAGGAAGAAGGTAACTGATCTTAGAGAAATTCAGATACCTGAGAAATAGCAAAAACC